CTCGACATTACTTCGACCTGAAGTTTCGAGCTAGTTCTAATGGTATTCTGGTCCACCAGTCGAACTAGACCCAAAAGGTGTTACGTCTGAGTATACCCTAATCGCATGTACGCTAAATGCAAATGAGATCTTTACGGAGGGTATGAAGCATAAGGTTCCATATTGGAACGTTAGGCAACCATAACTAAGTACCATTGGCGTTTGTTGTACTTAGCATAATGCACTAGAATCAGACATCTTATGTGTTGATAATCTTTTGGCATAAAGAAGCATTACGCCTACATGCCACCACCAAATTTGGTGTTAAAGACATTTTTTCCGTTACTACGGATTTGGGCTTATCTATCCTTATCCATCTCAGAATAGATCACACCCCCTTGATCTTCGGAATGATGTCTACCTTGTGGGATTCGCTGAATTCGATTACCCATTTGACCGCACAAGGTACGTTCTCAAATGGTTATGTCTTTACCATTAAGGAACACCGCAATATCTTGAAGGTCAACCAAATAGACCTTTATTGCAAAACCTTTGAATCATTCCATATTGTTCCAAGACTCACTGTATCGCATCACGTGAAAGATATGGTCGAGAACTCTTGTTGAGCATATTCAAAATCCCTGGGTTTTTCATCCATCATTGAGTCCCAACAACGATCCATGAAGACAACATTATATGTATCAACTAGATCATGATACATCCAACAAGTCAACACCAAGCATATTGTATCTACATTAACATGAGCATCAGAAGATTGAAGTCAAGTAGTCATATCCCAAACAATCTTGCCGACCTCTACACGATGTCATTGCCAAAGTCTACCTTCCAGAAGCTTGTTCGAGGAATTGGTATGCGTAACTTTCTCACTTACGATGCTTGTAGTTTCATTTGGAAGTTTTATCAAACTCAAGGAAAGTATCCAGAAGTATACTCACTTAACCTTAATGTACTATTTTTCCCCACGATTAGTAGCATTTTCCCCACTGGGTTTTTGCTACCAGACTAGATTTTGACAAGGCACCCATCCTAGGTTGGTCATACCCTTGTGTACGTTGTACTTGTGTCCCGAAGATGGATAGTTTTGATTTAATGCAATTTCTCACTTTTTTCTCCTTTGACTATGGGCTTTTGTTCCACCTTGGATTTTGCCATAGCGAGATTTTGTGAGTTTTACCACCCACGCATTCTTCTGTTTGTTTTGAGACTCGCATTTGCTACTTGTGTCAACTAGACAAGACGACTTCATCAATTGCTTCTACATTTGCCTGAAAGACCTGATGCACCAATTACTTGAGTATTTGCACACTAAAGGGGGAGTGTTGTGATATATGTTCTTATCAATATTGTGATTGTGTAAATCTTAAATAGAGATAGATTATGAATCCTTTGGGATCTAGAAGATCTTTCCTAATAGAGTTTGTCTTACTTGAAGAGAAAGTTCATCTCCTTATTACTATAAATAAAGGCACAAGGACTGGGGAATTAACATACAATTCCTCAAGCCTATTCTCCACTCTCTTTCTCTCTATGCCTCACCCCTCAGTTAAATATAGGCCACAACAAGAGTAATATTGTTCTTCACAAAATTATAGCAAGAAAATAATGCACCCACATAATTATTAACATATTTTAAAAAATAACTACTGATATATTTTGAAACATAAAATAAATACATATAATTAGCATTGGTACATTTAGCACAATTGAAAATGGGTACAATAAATTTAAAAAATAGGGGTACAAATACAAATAAAACTTTAAAAAAAATATGGACAAAAAAATAAATTAATATATGGGTACAAATTAAAACTGAAAAGAAAATTGGTATAAATTAAAAAAGGGTTGCAAATTAAAAGTGGGTACAAACTAAAAATAAAAAGATATGATAAAAAATTAGTCATAAATATAAATATGCCAAATGTAACATTTATAATACTAAATGAATATAATTAGAAATAAAAAAAATTAATATTAAAATTATTAATGATGTTTATTAAAACCTAAGGACCTTGATCAAAAATTGAAAAGGATAGCAAAAATAGAGATAGGAACCTAATTTTAAATTAAACATTAAAAAAAAAAAAAGAGAAGAGGGGGGGGGGTGGTGGAGTGGTGGAGGAATGATGGCCACAATGAACTCTGGCTAGTGTCCTCAAAGCATGTTCGAGTATAGGTGCTTTTGGACAAGCAAAGTGAATCCATGCCCGTACCATCAAATATGTGTTCAGTCTTATACTACCAATTGGAAGTGCTCTTTTAATCATGTATGCAAAGTGCGGGAATTTGGAAGACAACAGTCTGATTTGTAGGAGGATGCCAACAAGGGATATAGTATGCAATTATATCAGCGTTTTCACAAAGTGGGAGGGGCATCGAGGCTCTGCAAGCATAGAGATTATGAAGTTTATGATAACTATAAGTTATTCAGCAAGTTTATGCATTGACGTTTCATTATTCTTCTGGAATTCTCGTTTTACTCTTTTTCTTGAAAATTAATTTAAGGAAGAAAAACAATCTCCTTTTTAGGTTTGAAAGAATAGAATTAGACTAACAAAAAAATTCATTACAACTACAATTGATTCCTCTTGCGCCTCTTCACTTGTTTTGGCATATCAAAGTAACTTTTCATGAAACTGAAATTTTTTTGCTGTTAATTATTTTCTTATGGTTGCAAGCAGAATGCTAATGAAGTAGAATCCCATTTTTCATAAGCATTCTCAACAAGGAAAAAGAAGATGAAGTTGGTGATACTATTTTAATGTTTGATTTATTTTCCTATAAATTATAAAGATTTTTCTTATTGTTTAAGTATTAGTTATAAGGATAAAGTTGTCAATTTATTAGTAGATTTTTTACTGAATGGATTATGTGAAAGTAAATTAAAAGGAAAACTAATGAAAAATGCTTGAAAACTATGAGTTTTAACGATAAGGACAAAATAAAAGATAAAGTGAATAGTACCAGGATTAACTTTTTAGTGTAAAAATATGATTTTTCGTTAAAGTGAACAACATCGTAGGCTTTTTGTTAAAACTCTCTAAATTAAAACCTAAGAAGGTGTTAGTGTAATGTCTCAATGTTAAGGGGTTTTGTGAAAACTTGATATACTTCATAAGCTATTAGTGTAATTAACCCACTAGAAGAAGAAGGCATGTTATCATTTTATCACTTGGCTATCGAATTTAAAATAAAAATAAAAATGTGAGTTCCATCGCTACCATTAATACCAAAGCCATCAAAATTTCCATAACATTAGATTTTTTTGTAAAGAAAGTTTATTATTATTAAGGTGAGGAGAGGGATGAAAACTATTACATAATTTAGGAGAAGTGAGTTTCAATCTTGGAATGCTTAAGTGAAAACTTAACACTTTATCTATTAGGATATTAGACTACATGCAAACAACAAAACGAATGCTATTGGAGATGAAATCATAGAATATCTTTTGAGAAAAATAAAAAGAATACACTGTGTTGCATTTTAACAATATATATAAAAAATCTCGTTGTGATTCATAAGCAAACAAGTGATTACCATATAGTGACGCTTAGTTGGCATGCTTAATATTTTAAGAATGGGCATTCGATTGTTTGGTTATTCAAACAAGGGCGGAGCTAGAATTTTTTTTTAGGTGGGCTAGCTGAAATTAGTATTATAATATCATATGTTTATTTTTTTTGTTTATATAAAATTATATAATAATCAATATAAAAGAACAACAATAAAATATAAATTATTCCAAAATCATAACCTAGCTGATAAATTCAAGGATCATATAAATAATTAACCTACTAATTAAATCAAGAATAAGTAATAAAGAGATTAAGAGTGTACCAAAGGTGACTTCACTGGAAAATCGTAACAGAAAAGAATTGCGGAAATAGGGATTAATAGTGGATATAAAAAAATTATTTTTCTTTTCTTGAGTAAGAAGCACATAGACTAAATCGCATAGGGTAAATGGTCCTTTTCTTTTACAAATAGTATAAAGGGGGACAAGAGATAGAACTAATTTATAATTTTTAGCATAAAACTTATTATTTATTACCTATCCTCTACTAAATTGTATATTAAATAATAACCTGTATTGAAATTAAGTAGGCTATAAGCATGAGTTTACAAAAGAATAGTATTATTCACACACCCATTTTTACCTCCAACGCACTCTTATTAATTTTTTGTCGTTGATTATCTTCAATTTATTCTATCCGACAACCGAAAATTAAGAGTAGTGTGTGAGAAGTAAAAATGAGCGCATGAATAGCACTACCCTTATAGAAAACCTCCCTAGGCTACAGCCACCTTAGCTTTGTGGGTGGCTTCGCCGCTGTCAAACATAGAGCTAAATTTTAAGGGGGACTTTCTCCAATGCACATCAAAATGTAGAATTAAGTTATATATATGTACAAGAGCAATTAGATTATTTGTCCGAACGACATCTACCGATTCTTGTTTAAATGTGTAACTTAAATATGTACATTTTTAATGTGCATTGGAGAAATTTCATTGTTTGTTTCGAGTTTAAGGTCATAAATATGGGGTTTCATATTCAAGGTCTTGAGTTGGGGACTCAAGTCCCAAACTTTTAATCCTAGCCTATAAGGAAATATAATTTATATTTTATCGCATTCAATAGTTAACAAGACTAGTCACCTAGTACTACGATTTAATAGTATTTTTTTATTAATAATGAAAAAATTTAAGTTCGAATCTCGTAGATAGTAAGCTTAATACTAATTTATTCTCTACGTGGTGTTGTATGTGTCTAGTTCTTAACTTTTTTCTGTTTGTTCAATTCAAAGATTAAAAAAAGATAGGCATACAAATGGTGAAAAATGATGTGTAGATACATTTCCGAACCATAATCCCCTTCAAAGACGCCCACAACTAGCAGTCATCTAATTCATATAAAAGAAATGTTAAAATTGTTGAATTTATCCGATTTCAGTACCACTTTCCTGACAAAAATATATAATCGAAATGAAGAGACGATGCTTAGATTTGAGATAGAAACACTACATATAGCCAATGTCAAACAGTTTTCTCCTTCCATTAAATTAACTATAGTTCAAAATAAGATTTAGATGGCTGACCAATTAAACGTCGCCAAGGAAACGCTTAGAACTTCTATTGTGTCCTTGTTGTTGGCCCCATCACCAAAAGTAGCAAGATATGGGACCTCCTCTTTATCCAGATCTAAATCGAATACCCTGGATTGCAACACATAACCATGTTAGGCGCAGAAAAGGAAACATGTAACTGGGAGATTGAACAGTTTATCAAATTCCTATGAAAAATTTGCGAAACTTGATCAGCTTCTTTTTCTTGTTATAAAAATGAGCATTATTTAAAAGTATATTGAAAGAAGACAGCTAATAGTGTACCTACCTCATATTTCACTTGAAGTTGCTGTTGCAACTTGTATACTTGCCTGCACCTTGGAATCTTGGATTGACAAAGCTGGAACAAGACTTGCATCGTAAAAACCATGTAAACAGAAATCAAGCTATTATAATTGAGTAGTGCTACACTTACCATCTATTTGTACCATCACTAGACCATCTGTCTAGTAGAGGTAGGGTCCGCAAACGCATGCAGGTTCCATCTCTATTACAAAGATGGTACAAATGATGTTATAAATAGATGGTAAGAATAACTTTTGTGGTTATAATTTAGCACAAAATGAATCACTGAATTATCCAAAGTTTTGACATTTCTACCACCCCTGCAACCCTTCCCTCAGCAAAGAAAGTAACTTTCACGCCGCCAACTGCTCTTTGATGTACTCACACTCAAGTTTCAAACTTTCTTCTTATTCTAACCCTTCCGACTATGAATTACAGATTCCCTTGCAAAATTACAAATCGTGGAACCAAGCAATCTAAGTTTTTAGACAAATATTGAATGAAAACAAGCACTTACACTCACCACTGTAGATTGATTCAGTGATCTCAGAACTTTGATTCTACCACCTCTTCCATCAGCTCCTGCAACAATCAAATTACCAGAACTTTGATTCAGACCCCACTTGCACCATTTACCTAAATACCTGTTTGTTCCATCAAACCCAAGCAAGTCCCCAGAAAATCAAACATCCCCTGTATTTTGAATTGGAATAACAAAAACAAAATTACATTCTCATCACATAAATCTTCAGGAAAATGTACTCATTCATGATATCTTGCACAGTAACTCAAAAAATTGCTTCAAAAGTTTACCTGGTCCGGGAAGCGGTTGTGGGATATGAGGCTCCTTTCTAATGTTAAACATGGGTAATCTTGTTCAACATCATCAAGAATAACAACATCAGCAATGTCAGTAGCAGGAGTTCTGGCAGTATCGTTACAAGTGGGAGTTTCTTTCCTAGTATCAGAAACTGCATCTGACCTCAATCGAGTGCACTTCTAGTTAACAACATCCTCATAGATTTATTCTTTCAATTAGGGATTTGAAAGTCCACGCTTAGCTGTGGAAAGTTTTGGAGCATCTTTATCTATTAAAGAGTAGGCATCTCTTACTTTATCATGAGCAATGGTGCTTGTACCATTTTAGTACAACTTCGATCCAGATGGTCAGTGAAGTTTGAGTTTTCTGTTTTCCTATGACACAGTAGATCATTTTCGCTTTCAGTCCTATCCAAGTTACGGATGGAAGCATAAGGATGTTTTCTTTGAACTTCTGGTGAACTGTTGACAGACACTGAATTAGTGTTACATAATCCACCATTCTGCATAATTCCTTCACCCCAAGTTGTCTTTGAAACTTTTAAAGCCCTCAAAACTTCATTATCTTTTACTTTGACAACTGTCTCCAGTTCTTGTACCCTTTATCTGATAATAGACAAAAAAAATCACTAAATTAGGTTTCACTCATTAATTGAGATTCAATTAAGCTCATTCCATCACAAACTTACCTTCAGTTTTTTAATCTTTTAGCCTCCTGCTCCAGTTTTTTGCTCTCACGAGCTTCTCGTGCAAGACCATTGTATTTGTTTATTAAGTCTTTGTAATTCCTATTAGGAGCATGAACATCAAAGAATGCAAATTAAAATATGAGACAGAAAAAAGCATACAAGGATGAAATGAAAGGTGACTGCTGTTTAATTTTACTTCAGATGGAAACACTCAAGGAAATCTCAAACATTCTGCTCCATCCATAAGAATTAAGTAAATTACAGGATAATATTTATATGGCTAACCTCTTACTCATCTCCGAGGACTTTCGTATAATATCTATCGTGTCTTTGGTGTTGGCTCCATTACCAAGAGTCGAAAGCTTTGAAACCCCATCTTCATCCAGATCTAGATCCGATACCCTATAATTGCAACCCACGTAACCATTTTAGGCGTTGGCTCAAGTGGCAAAGCATGTGTAGGGTTGAGTAAGTCTTATGTACAAACATTCTGATTAACAAAATTACAATGAGCACTTGGAAACTACAGCGGTTTTCATCTTAAGCTGCAGCTACATGTATGCTTGTTGTTTCAATGCTTCATTTTAAAACACAACTTCTTTCTGTGCCACCTCCGTACATTGACAAAGCTGACAGAAAACTTTCCTCATGAGAACCACATCAAGAAACAATCTGCTATAATCTTGCAGAAAATAAATACCGAAAATCCAGAGTTTTAATAGTAGCATCCTGACCTTTGAGCAAAGAAATTAAATATAAACTTCATAATCTTCTATTCCATTTAAAAAAATTGATGTCACAGCCCATATGAATGGTTTCTTTGTCTTTCAATAGTGGAGAATTGCAAAACTAAAATATAAAACCTTCTTCCTGGTCTAACTTTTCCGACATTATCGTCTTCCGACAAGGATGAAACAAACTATTCGGTATCACGGTTTCATTGTTTTAAATTCCTCCATTAATCAAATCAAAGAATAGTACCAAGTTACCATCATCAAACAAATATTCAATTTCAACTCTCTAATTGATACTATAATCATTGTGCTTCAATCCAATACTCAAAAGTAAAAAACGAAAAACAAAACTAACCCTAAAATGTGTAACCAAGTATTATAACACCAATTAACCAAAGTCCTAATCTAAATTCCTTTCCTTTGTTCTCCCTCAATTTCTTACACACCCAACAAAGCATAAAGATAATCCCATACCTCCTCTTTAAGCTCCTTAAGCTCCCTCGCCTGAAGCCCGAAAGCCGAACGAATCCCCAGCTCTGCCACCTCCAACCTTTTCACCTCTAGACGCAGCACCTGGGGATCTTCTCATTTGCTAATCGGCCTCAGAGTCGCATCCGCCGCGTCCCCCACCGACTGAAAATAAAGCCGGCCGGCATCCTTCTGCTTGCACACCGGGCAAGTGTACTTCTTCGCCCTTGCAGAGTACTCGAACCACTGTTGCAGACTAAGTTTCACATCCAAAACGTCGCCGTATTAAGCATCAATTTCCAATCGTGAGCACAACGAAATTAAACAAATTGAATACATATATATATATATACACACGCACATAGAGAGAGAGAGAGAGAGAGAGAGAGAGAGAGAAGAGTGGAGAGAGAGACCAGAGCTCGTGGAAGACATGGCCGCAGATGGAGATGGATTGGAGGTCCTCAGAAACGGGCTTGAGGTCTTCGTAACAGATTGAGCCGATTGTTTTGGTGAAGTTGGTGGAATCTGCATCGCGCATCTCTCTGGTCTCTATTCTAGGGTTTAGGATTTGGGATTTAGTTGTGTCATGAATTTTCTCGGGAATATGGAGCCAATTTTGAAAAATGAAGCCAACTGCGCGGGAAGAAAATGTAAAAGGAGGGAGGGGAAATGACCACACTTTTTTTATCGTGTGTTCACGATTTGGAGTTCAAATCTTCTCTCTTTTTTAAATTTAAAAGGTGTAGGAGGTATGCGGATTCAAACTAAATTATTATTACCATGTTTGATTTATTTTTTTATTTTTTTGTGTAAGCTAAATTATTATAGGAAAATTGTAAAAAATGACTCATTTGTTGCAGTTCTATTAGATTAAGGATGTAATTGTATAAATTCTAATATATCTAAGAATATCTTGGAATATTCTCTAGGGTTAGATAGTATCCTATTAGACCATCTCTAACCCTTAGGCTAAAAGCCAAAATTTTTAGCCCAAAAATTTAGCTTTTAGCGCAGAAACAGTTTTTCTGCTTTAACCCTTCTGACCTAAAATTTTAGCTCCAAATTATTAAAGAATGAACTTAGGCTAATTTTTTTTTCTTAAATTTACTTTTTTAAAAAAAATATGTAGACTATCGTAAATTACTTTTATGAACATTTTAATCCAAAAATATTTAAATTCCAATAAATATTGAAAAATCACTAAATCGATACATGAAACTCATAAAACACTATGGAAGAATATGAAAATCATAATAGAGCTGTATAAACACAAAATACATAAAACACACAGAACACATGTAAAGCACATACAAAACACATGTGAAGGACATACAAAACACATGATAGAGATAAAGCACACACATAACAATTGTGAAACACATGACACACACGAAACACATACAAAATACATACAAAACACATGATTGAGATAAAGCACACATAGAACACATGTAAAACACATGACACACACGAAACACATACAAAATACATACAAAACACATGAAACGCAAGAAACATAAACCTACACACATGAAACCCTAAACCTTCAATCATCCTCTATATAAACACAGGTTGAATATCAGTTGATCACACAATCTTTTAACCTTCAATTAGGCCTGGCAAACGGGTCGTGTCTGTCGTTTTCGTGTAACACCTGTTATCTTAACGGGTCGTGTCGTGTCACACCCGTTATCTTAACGGGTCCTTAACAGGTCGGGTCACTTTACCCAACGGGTAAAGTGACCCGACCCGTTATGACCCGTTAAGAAAAAAATATATTTTTTTTAAATTTGCACATATCACACATTGCCACATAAATATTACTTCAAAACATTAAAACATTTGTCGTTTAAGTACTATATCTTCATTCGAAAATAAGAGCCTAATAAAAAAATAATACATACACTACTAATCTATTACAAATATTAAATGTGCAAGGATATGCAAAATGAAAGAGTTTTTGTTTTCAAGATTGTAAGTCTTTCTCAAAAGTTTACACCTCTATCTACAAAATCTTCAATTTACATCGATCATCATGAAATTGTATTGAAACTTTGACTTTATCTATTGCCTTGAAGAGTTATGTTGAAGATGTTTTCAGTAAGGTTTTCCACGTCAGAACTCTCATCCACATAAACTAAGTATAGAAAAACCAAACATTAAAAATCATTCAAATTATGAGAAGTTTACCAAAATAATTATGAAAAGAAATAAAATAATAATACTATACCATATAAAAATATATTAAAATAACCGTTAAATCGTGATTTTTCGTATATAACCGTCGAAAAGCTTTGTTCCATTCCTTGATCTCTGAATGTTTGTTTTTTGTGATTTTTTGTTGATGTGATCTCCAAGCATACACAAACAAGTTTGACGGTTTGGATCGTTGAAATTATTTTTGGAGAATTCGTATCCCAACAAAATGATAGATTGACTAACACTTAGAGTTTATTTATACTTTCATTAAGTACAACATAAGATTTTGTGATATCCACTTGTTTAAATATTTTAAATTGAAGATCGAATTCATTCATTGTATTCATATAGGGTCAAGGAGTGTACCTGTAAAAAATCATCAAAATCGGAGTTAAAATAACTGTTAAATCGTGATTTTTCGTTTATAACCGTCGAAAAGCTTTGTCCCGTTACTTGATCTTTGAATGTTTGTTTTTTGTGATTTTTTGTTGATGTGATCTCCAAGCATATACAAACAAGTTTGACGGTTTGGATCGTTGAAATTAGTTTTGGAGAATTCGTATCCCAACAAAACGATAGATTAACTAACACTTAGAGTTTATTTATACTTTCATTAAGTACAACATAAGATTTTGTGGTATCCACTTGTGTAAATATTTTAAATTGAAGATCGAATTCATTCATTGTATTCATATAGGGTCAAGGAGTGTACCTGTAAAAAATCATCAAAATCAGAGTTAAAATAACCGTTAAATCGTGATTTTTCGTTTATAACCGTCGAAAAATTTTGTCTCGTTACTTGATCTCTGAATGTTTGTTTTTTGTGATTTTTTGTTAATGTGATCTCCAAGCATATACAAATAAGTTTGACGGTTTGGATTGTTGAAATTAGTTTTGGAGAATTCGTATCCCAACAAAACGATAGATTGACTAACACTTAGAGTTTATTTATACTTTCATTAAGTATAACATAAGATTTTGTGGTATCCACTTGTATAAATATTTTAAATTGAAGATCAAATTCATTCATTGTATTCATATAGGGTCAAGGAGTGTAGCTGTAAAAAATCATCAAAATCAGAGTTAAAATAACCGTTAAATCGTGATTTTTTGTTTATAACCGTCGAAAAGCTTTGTCCCGTTACTTGATCTCTGAATGTTTGTTTTTTGTGATTTTTTGTTAATGTGATCTCCAAGCATATACAAACAAGTTTGACGGTTTGGATCGTTGAAATTAGTTTTGGAGAATTCGTATCCCAACAAAACGATAGATTGACTAACACTTAGAGTTTATTCATACTTTCATTAAGTATAACATAAGATTTTGTGGTATCCACTTGTATAAATATTTTAAATTGAAGATCGAATTCATTCATTGTATTCGTATAGGGTCAAGGAGTGTACCTGTAAAAAATCATCAAAATCGGAGTTAAAATAACCGTTAAATCGTGATTTTTCGTTTATAACCGTCGAAAAGTTTTGTCCCGTTACTTGATCTCTAAATGTTTGTTTTTTGTGATTTTTTGTTGATGTGATCTCCAAGCATATACAAACAAGTTTGACGGTTTGGATCGTTGAAATTAGTTTTGGAGAATTCGTATCCCATCAAAACGATAGATTGACTAACACTTAAGAGTTTATTTATACTTTCATTAAGTATAACATAAGATTTTATAGTATCCACTTGTGTAAATATTTTAAATTGAAGATCGAATTTATTCATTGTATTCATATAAGGTCAAGGAGTGTACCTGTAAAAAATCATCAAAATCGGAGTTAAAATAACCGTTAAATCGTGATTTTTTGTTTATAACCGTCGAAAAGCTTTGTCCCGTTACTTGATCTCTGAATGTTTGTTTTTTGTGATTTTTTGCTGTTGTGATCTCCAAGCATATACAAACAAGTTTGACGGTTTGGATCGTTGAAATTAGTTTTAGAGAATTCATATTCCATCAAAACGATAGATTGACTAACACTTAGACTTTATTTATACTTTCATTAAGTATAACATAAGATTTTGTGGTATCCACTTGTGTAAATATTTTAAATTGAAGATCGAATTCATTCATTGTATTCATATAGGGTCAAGGAATGTACCTGTAAAAAATCATCAAAATCGGAGTTAAAATAACCGTTAAATCGTGATTTTCTGTTTATAACCGTCGAAAAGCTTTGTCCCGTTACTTGATCTTTGAATGTTTGTTTTGTGTGATTTTTTGTTGATGTGATCTCTAAGCATATACAAACAAGTTTGACGGTTTGGATCGTTGAAATTAGTTTTGGAGAATTCATATCCCAACAAAACGATAGATTGACTAACACTTAGAGTTTATTTATACTTTCATTAAGTAGAACAATAGATTTTGTGGTATCCACTTGTGTAAATATTTTAAATTGAAGATCGAATTCATTCATTGTATTCATATAGGGTCAAGGAATGTACCTGTAAAAATTCATCAAAATCGGAGTTAAAATAACAGTTAAATCGTAATTTTTTGTTTATAACCGTCGAAAAGCTTTGTCCCGTTACTTGATCTCTGAATGTTTGTTTTTTGTGATTTTTTGTTAATGTGATCTCCAAGCATATACAAACAAGTTTGACGGTTTGGATCGTTGAAATTAGTTTTGGAGAATTCGTATTCCAACAAAGCGATAGATTGACTAACACTTAAAAATTTATTTATACTTTCATTAAGTATAACATAAGATTTTGTGGTATCCACTTGTGTAAATATTTTAAATTGAAGATCGAATTCATTCATTGTATTCATATAGGGTCAAGGAGTGTACATGTAAAAAAATCATCAAAATCGGAGTTAAAATAACCGTTAGATCGTGATTTTTCGTTTATAACCGTCGAAAAGCTTTGTCCCGTTACTTGATCTCTGAATGTTTTTTTTTTGTGATTTTTTGCTGATGTGATCTCAAAGCATATATAAACAAGTTTGATGGTTGGGATCGTTGAAATTAGTTTAAGAGAATTCGTATCCCATAAAAACAATAGATTAACTAACACTTAGAGTTTATTTATACTTTCATCAAGTATAACATAAGATTTTGTAGTATCCACTTGTGTAAATATTTTAAATTGAAGATCAAATTCATTCATTGTATTCATATAGGGTCAAGGAGTGTAGTTATAAAAAATCATCAAAATCGGAGTTAAAATAACCGTTAAATCGTGATTTTTCGTTTATAAGCGTCGAAAAGTTTTGTCACGTTACTTGATTTTTGAATGTTTGTTTTTTGCGATTTTTTGTTGATGTGATCTCAAAACATATACAAACAAGTTTGACTGTTGGGATCATTCAAATTAGTTTCAAAGAATTCGTATCCCATCAAGTTCCAATGGTGTACATATATATATATATACACACACATATATATATATATATTTATTAAGTAGATTTAAATCTATTTATTTTGTACGTATAATTGACTAGTACACGGAGTAGTATATCACATGTATCATTATAAAAATAGTGAGATATGTCATATGTGTGATAAAAAGTTAATAATTTAAAAAAAAAAAAAAAGAAAATTCTCACCACTTCTATTAATTTTCATTTTTCCCTCTCTTTTTTGTTTCCTTTTCAACTTTTCTTATAATTTTCACTTTTCCATCCAACATCTTTCTCTAATTCCCTCACTTTTTTGTTTCATTTTCAACTTTTCTTATCATTTTCATTTTCCCTCTATTTTTCTTCAAAAAGGGCGGCAGGAATGGAATAGAATCAAATCAATGGATGCATCATGCATATTAATTAATAATTATTATAGTTTTTATAAAATTTAATTCAAAATTTAATATATATATATAATTATATAATTATTATAGATAGTTAATATTTTGGGGGTATAATTATTATAGTATATATAATTATTATAGACTTTATAGTTAATTTAATATATATATTTATTATAGTTTTTAGGGGTATAAAATTGTTAAATTAATGTATATAATTATTACAGTATTTTTTTAGGGTTATAAAATTATAAAAATAATATTCTGCTTATCGTGTATCGTGTTACCCACGTGTATACCCGAATCAACCCGTTATCTTAACAGGTGCTTATCGGGTTACCCGATAACGACCCGATTCGTTATCGTGTCGACCCGAATACCTGTTAATTTCGTTTCGGGTTATCGGGTCGTGTCAGGAATTGCCAGGCCTACCTTCAATCATCCTCTATATTCACCAATCTTTCAACCTTCAAACTGTTTTTCTTTCCAAAAAATCCTCAATATCTCATCAATGGGTGATAGAAGAAGGCGTAGCAGGGCAATGCAGATAGCACAATACCAAGCAAGCCTTGACATTGAGGATGCATAAATGATCAGTGCAGAAGCTGAATTTGCAAACTCGCTTATGCAATATGAGCACCATGCAAAATCTAACTATCGTGGTTCTGTCATGGGATGTTCATTTGTGCAGCGTGATAGAGAAGAGTGTTGTGACCAAATGATAAAAGATTATTTCATCAAGTGTCCGAGATTTCCTACTCATGATTTTCGAATGCGGTTTCAGATGAGGAGAGATCTTTTTGAAAGCATCTTAAACACAGTTGTAAATTATGACCACTACTTTCCAAGGAAGATAAATGTCGTAGACCTACAAACTATATCACCTCATCAGAAGCTCACATTTGCATTTTGGATGCTAGCTAATGGGTGCTTTGCAAACTCAACTGATGAGTATTGCCGACTTGCAGAAACTACTGCTATTGAGAATGTGAAGCGCTTCTATAAGGCAATTGAAGCCATATATGGAACCACATATCTTCACAAGCCAAATCGTGAAGACTTGAAGAGGCTTATATGCAAGGCAGACAAAAAAGGCTTCGCTAGCATGATATGAAGTCTCGATTGTATGCATTGGGAGTAGAAGAATTGTCTTACTGCATGGGCTGGCCAATTTAAAAGCAGTCATAACGGGCCAACCATCGTGCTCAAGGCTGTGACGTCTTACGACACATGGATTTGGCATGCATTCTTCGGCGCTCCTGGATTAAACAATGATATCAACGTTCTTTGGTCTTCTCCTCTATTCGATGATGTTGTCAATGGATAAGCACCAGAATTTCGGTACAAGGTAAATGGTAATAGGTATGAGCTAAGTTACTACCTAACTGATGGTATTTATCCTAGTTGGTCTACCTTTGTCAAAAGTTTTTCTTATCCCGATAGTGCAAAGAAGAAATTATTTTCACAGAGGCAAGAGTCTTATATGAATGATGTGGGGAGAGCGTTCGAGATCCTACAAGCTCGATGGGCAATTGTTAGAGGGCCTGCACAACTTTGGCATATTGAAGACCTCCATTCAATCATGATGACATGCATAATTTTGCACAACATGATTGTGGAAATTGAGTACATCGAAATTGAAGAAGATTCAGACGAAGATGTGGATGATGACCAACCAACACATGCGAGAGCTATGACAAAAGATGTTGAATATCTTGCTGCAACCACATATGAGACCCGACAGGATAGAGTCACATTGAGTGAGTATATGAGATGTTTAAATAGAATTCAAGCTCCTTAAGATCATGACACACTCCGCAAGGATTTGGTTGAGCATATATGGCACCGAGAAGGTGAACGTTGATGATGTTGGTGCATTAATGTGTTGTTGTGTTAAATTTAAGTGTGCTATGTTGTTATTTTATGTAATAATTTTAAGTGTACTATGTTGGTATTTTCTAGTAATAAATTGAAGTGTCTTCTTGTGCAAAATCTTTTGTCTAGTACATTGTCAAAATTATTGAATGCCGTTTGAATTATTAAAGGTATCTATTGTACATCAAAGTGTGTAATAATAAGTACAATAATTATTGAAGGCAACTTGATTATTAGAAACAATAATTAATAAGCCATAAATTTAATACGCACGAAAATTAATAAAGTACATAAACTTAATACAAACGACAATTCATAAACCACATAAACTTAATACAATCGATAATTCATAAACTACATAAACTTAATAATAATCCATCTTATCAATAACTTGTTATTACCTATTAAACTCTTAAACTAGTGATGTTATAAATCGGGTTACCATTATTGGTGGCTAATTTTTAATAAAGGGTTTTACCCCCATTCCACTAGATGTACTAACTACCAAAGCTCTTGAAAGTGCTTTTGTTAACGAATCCGCCAAGTTATTACTTGATTTAACATAAATAATATTAATAACTCCATCATTTATTAATTGTTTAACATATTCATGTCTCAAGCTAATATGTTTAGACTTTCCATTGTATACCTTATTGTATACTTTAGACAAAGTAGCCTCAATGTGCCTGGAACACAGGGTGATATACCATGTGTCTCTATACAAGTGGTGAGATTCTTGTGTTAAAAAATTAATAACATAAAAAAAAAAAATCCTACTACTTACATAATAACACGTGGTGTACCACTTGTGTTACAGGCACAAGAAAAATTTTCTCCAAGATGACACCCAAGCTCAAGAAATTTCTTACTAATTTGTAAATAAAATCTATCAATACTCGTGTCTTCTAGCTGAAATAAGATATGATATACTGAAGGTGTTTAAGAGTAGATATGTCTTTTGTTGCGTTAAATAGTTTTTACGTTTGCACTTACGAGTAATACATGATAGTGCAATCATAGATGTTGGTTTAGTTCTTTCATTGTCGTTGTCAAGAATTAAACTCATTTCACATGAAGATGTATTTGAGAAGTTTTTGAGGTTGGTAAAGATTTTGACACATTTCTTCACAGAGAAATGTCATCCGATTTTCAAATGAACATGAATAAGATTGTTCATTTCGTACGGTTCTGACCATTGGAAATTGATCGACACTCCGTCATGCTAGATCACCATTCAACCAAAACATCCAGAGAAACAACACAATAGATTTCAAAATGATCAAAGTCATTGAAATATGTAAGACAAAGGTGAAGTGAGACAACATTTCGGTTGTCAAAAACTTTATTCACATTCAACATCTTCGATTTAACTAACTTTCCTCGGTCGACATGTGAGGAAAATGCAATAATTGAAGAATCACTAATAAATCCTCAATAGAAATCGAAGAAACCAAGGATATCTCGTATTTCATAACACTTTGTGAGGATTTCAACTTTTTTTTGCTACAACCTTTTGGAGAAAAGAAAAGAATATTGTCTATTGAGATCACGTCCCCCAAGAAAAGTACTTGATCTGAACAAGGTTAACATTTGAAGAACTTGGTATAAAGATTACTGCCATCGTTTAAAGAATTGATCTCGTGGTTGAAATAGGTGAGAAGGTCCTCGGTAGGACTACTACAAATTCGTCAGTCTATGGAAGAAAACTTGGACTCAAAAGGTTGGTCGGGTAGACCACCAATTCGAAGTATAAGTTAACGGTTTTTAATCATCACCCGATTGAGTTGCAAAAATCTAGGTACAATCCTAAGGTTCAGTCTTTCGCCTTCATGGTTAGGTTTGAGGTTCCCTAGATAAAGTGTTTGGTTCAGTAAGTTCCTAATCAATAAGCTTTTGTAACTAAGTTCTCTTAAGGATGTAGGAGTTGTTCAAAAGATACAATAAAAATTGGTGTATTATGAGAAAGTGGATCGATGGTGTATTTCACTTCACAAATTGGTGATATCCTAGGTAAAATTTTAAGAAATGACGCTAGAAATATACGTCCTTGAAACATACCATACTACTTCTTTTCTCTACAACACGTACTAAAAGGTATTCACAACTTTCTCAATACTCAATTTGCTCTCATAGCGGGAAAGTATCTAATAGAGTCAAGTTGAAGTTAAGTTGTGGGACACTTGTCACAACCACAGTGCTGGCAGAGAGTGGGCAGAGGATCTTCGGGACAGCGGATTCGAACTAATTTGAATCACAAGAAATGGGTAGAACCGTCATTTGAGTAAACGAATTTTCATTGTAGTCTTTTCGTTTATGAGCTCTCTCTCCTCTCTCTCGATCTGACCCGAACCAGACCCAGCGAAGCGGGAACTTGCAAAACTCTCTGCTACTCTCTCTCTCATTGAATTCGAATAGAGGTACAGGTTCCAGTTTTGGATTTTATTTAATTATATTTTATTCTTTTTTTTTTAATTTTATTTACAAAGTGAAAATTAGGAATAGTAGTTGTCGATTTTTGCCTGAATGTGTGATGAAAAGGTAAGAGTTTTTTTTAGTAGTTTTTGCAATTTTATGGGGTTCAAATTTAAGCAACCCTACTGTGACAATTGTAGCTTTGAATTTAGAGATGGTGGAGCTGTGACTCTGTGACTCTAATGGTAAATTTTGTTTTATTGTTCCATGTGTTTGGTTGGTGAGAAAATAGAGGAGAATAGTGGAAAATTGGAAATGGAGTTATCAACTCCAGTACCTTCCAGCTGAAAAAGCCATCAAAACTAGAGAATATGTGACCTTTTTAATTAGAAGAAAATGATAATTTTAACATGCATAATTCAAGGCAACATTGATTCATTATCTTCAGCATGTTTTAAATTATTGGGTTTTGAATATGTTTCTGTAATGCATTCAATTTGTATATGATCATGGTTGAACTTTTGAGCTATTAGTTTGAAAAATTGTCAAAGTTGAATGTATTAATATGCTTTTTGTGATTTGAGCATCAAGACTTTGGTTCTCGAATCAAGCTAGTTGTTAATCTGTCTGTAATGATGGAACTTTTGGCTGCTGCTTCATTGCTGATTTATCCTGAACCAGATGAAAGAGGGTAGAGATGGAACCACGAGCAATAGAATGTCAAAATCTTCATCTGTTAGCTCACTTCCACTCATCTTGGACATAGACGACTTTAAGGTGAAAAACGGAAAACATATCATATGTGTTTCTGTAACTTTTGTAGTGTACCTGTTGTGAACTTGGCTGTGAATTAAAATAACGATTGATATTCTTTGACATTTGATTTGTAGGGTGAGTTTTCATTTGATGCATTGTTTGGGAACCTGGTAAATGAGCTGCTCCCATCTTTTCAAGAAGAAGAAACAGACTCATCTGAAGGTCATAGCAACGTCAGCGGGAATGATTCTTTACAAAATGGACATATGCGAGTACCATCAGATGCAGCAAAATTTGCACAAGGACTGTCAGACCCGTTATTTCCGGAAGTAGATAAGATCTTATCTCTGTTCAAGGATTCTTGTAAAGAGTTGGTTGATCTCCAGAAACAGGTATGTCTTGGGACAGTGTAGGTATTGGACTTACAAAGTCATTTTAATTTTTTTTCTGAAGTTGCTGATTCCACCCTGTCACCATTGAAGATTGATGGAAGACTCTACAATCTTAAGAAGGAGGTTTCTGTACAAGATTCTAAGCACCGTAAGACACTTGTTGAGGTTAGTTAGAGGAAAGCATGTATTTTACAGTTTATTCAGAAAATGTTTTGCACACTGCACACCGAGAAGGAGTGGAAGTTCTTTCCAATTGAGAATGTTACTGTCAGAGCTAAAATATCATTGTTAGAATGCGATATGGATATTGGGTTGAACTTAATACAGTTCTCTAAACTGGAAATAACAATTACCTGTAGGAAAATATGAAAATTATGGCAACTCATCTTTTGTAGATTTCACCTATCAATGTGCAATGAGTATCATATGTGAAGAACTCCATGGAATTTACATATATTATTCTTGTTCTTGTTTTGGTAAAAATGAATGCTTACTATTTAAATTCTTTTCTAACATTGTCCGCCAATCTTAACTCTTAAGTGAGAACATGCAAGTTTTTCACATGTGAAGTGAGGATCTAAATTCCAAAAGTGCTTTAAAGCATTAGATGAAATCTGAAATGAACAGCGAACTGACTGTATTGCTATGCATATTTTTTTCTCAGCTTGAAAAAGGAGTA